TGTGTTCGGTGTTTACATAGTCATAGCACAAACTATTCTGTGGCTCTTGAAAAATCAGTCAAAATGCTCAAAAAACTCTGGCAGTATGGGACTCTGTTCTGAAAATGGCTGCCAGTCAATGAGTTAAAGATCTTTTCCGTCCACATTGCAAAAGCCTCATTCATGAACTGCGCAGCCCCGACTGGACCGTTTTTAATATAATAAACCTGAGCGGAAATAATCGGAACAAAATTACAAAAAGATTTTCCGAAAACCGTATTTTCCGCACTATAAAGGCACCTAAAAGCCATTTTCTCGCCTTATAAATGGATCAGGATAGAGTTTAAACAGGTCTGCTGCTACGGGAAATTAGCAACTGACTCCGTTTTCTCCGTAGAAGGCGCCCCCTTCTGGAGACTCCACAGTACTGCTCCCATTTTAAAAGTGGACGCAGTAAGAGAAGGCGGCTGTTTAAAAAATGTGGACATTAAAGGTTTCTGATCCTAACTATGAATATAGGTAGTTCAAATAATTCTATACCAGCGTTTTGTTGTTTTTTTTACGAGAAAAGCTCATCAGCTTTACACTAGCCTCCATATATTGTGACTAACGTTTGATTTACCGTAGAGATATCAGATTGTTTCTTTGACGTGTTTACTGAATGGAGGAAAAGTTCCCCCCCACAACGTGATCAAAATACTGCAAGACCTGTTATACGTTGTTTTTGTTAAAAGATAAAATATGAGATAAAGACACTACGTCACTGACATGAACTCGGGAACAATAATAAAACATTTGTTTGTTCATTTTGGGAGTGAACAGAGTCGTCAGAACGCTGGTTTGTGTTCTGTTAATAAAGTCTGACTCATTTATCTAACTGTTTTGTTGACATTCTCTTTAGCGTAGCATAATATGGTGGATGCTAACGCAGCCCAATCTCTAATGGAGCTTCTACTCTATATGTCTTATAATGCGGTTTTATAAAATATGATGTGATTTTCTGGAATTTTCTTTGGGATTCTGTCTTTCACTGTTAGAATGTACATATGATTAAAGTTATAGATCGTTGCATTCTTTGTAAGTGGGCAAACCTGCAAAATCAGCAAGGGCTCAAATACTTATTTCCCCCACTGTATATGAGAAATGTTTAAAATAGGCCGTTCAATATAATGCGGAAAATACGGTCGTAATAAGAAATGGCTAAAAAAACTCCCACAGGCAGAAATGAAGAGGATGCAATCATGCTGGGATGCTTTCTGATCCTTTAACCTGATTGGACGACAGGGAAAACTTGTGATTGTTTTAGTGTGACTGGGGGGGGGAAGTAGAAGGGAAAGTAGAAGGGAAAAGAGGGTTATTGTACTTACGTCCTGACTA